AAATCTCAAACCTCGGCCTACCGTATTGACCTCGCTATCGCTCGGTCAATACGGTAAGGCCTCAGTTTGAGATTTTCCCGTAACGACCTCACTCTCGTTTATTAAGTAGTTATTCATCACTGAAGAAGGTTATAGTATTTTAGCCGAAACGTCTATTTTAAGATTTTTGAGTCAGTGACAACAACTTTTAAGATTTTATTACTATGCCTGACTACAACCACAGTATTTTTAAAATCAGATATCAGTGGAAATGAAGTTTAATAAACTACAACACCGAAAAAAAAGCGTTGGTGACTTGCTTTACGTGACAAAAATGTAGCTATAAAAGTTAGCTGTAGCCTGCGGACCTCGTCTGTATAAAAATTTTCGAGATAATCTGAATTAGGCTCCTCATGACGACATTTGGGGGTGTCCGTGAGTGTCCGCAAAATACAGGTTTTACCAATTCTATTGAGCAGAAAGACTAGTGAAGTTTTCGTAAGCATTTTATTCGGAAATTCAAAGTATCTGGTTAAACATATTCCCTCCCATGTTCCATCCACCACCTCCTGTACTCAGAATAGCCTCATAAAATGTTTGCGCACTCTGTACTCTTATTCCAGGCCATAATTATCTCTTTACTGGTGGTTCTACAGTTGCTAAAAATACACTGAGATTTACCAAGTAAATAAATAAATAAATAAATAAATAAATAAATAAATAAATAAATAAATAGATAATTTCTAAGTATACACACCTCGTTTATGCAAGATATTGAAACGTTTTCCTGCCCACGGGAAATATCACTGTGTGGCCAAAATAAATACCGTTACATGAGGAAATAGAGCTCAAAGACGAAAACACCTCGATAATACCTCAATAACAATTTTGAATCAATGGCAAACACACAAGTAAATAAACTACTAAGCAACAAGCAAGAGAATGAGGTAAAGTACAAATTATATACATTTAATAATAAAATGGACCCTTTCTATCAACCGCTCACATGGTACAAAATCCGCAGTGATGAAAACCAGTGCTCTGAGACATCAAACACGAAGAAAGGTAAAGCTTGACTTTGTCGCACTATTCAATCCAGCATGGAGGAGACTGTATCATGTGACCATACAAAGGGTCCATTACAGAACCAAAATGATGGAAGGCTATTTTAGAGCAAATTCACACATTTCTTTGTACCTATGTAGAATGCGCGGCCTAATGGATTCCTGACATAATTCCAGATCGAGCTTTGACTTCAACAAATGTTTACCTCTTGAATCTGGTTCAGCGACCTAGCGAATAACAAAAACGTTATTCACAATGGATATGTGAAAAAATGTAGAGATTGAATCACCCATGAAACCAGCTTCACTCGAAAATTTCATACCATTTGGGGGAGCAAAAGCGCCAAATTCCGCAATGAATAGAGTTTCAGCCGGTTTATTTTCACCTTCTCCCTAACCTGTAACAACCCTGGATAAATGTTAGTTTATCAAACACAATCAGCAGTACTACCTCGAAAGGCGTTTGACCGTCTTCGTTTCTGATGTGAATGTTGGCTCCACGACCCAAGAACAACCTGCAAACATTTTGTGCGGCTCAATAAGTACAGCTCCGTAACAGATAAGGCACCCAGGCTTGAGAGCACGAGTAAGTGATGAGCAAAGGAAACATTTACTAATGATAGCGTCTGCTCTACAGTACAACAACGATACCACAGTCTCGCAATCTCTCTAGAATCCAAAGATAATCACGAAACATTCTGTTCATACAGAAAGTCTCCCGATATAACTAGCGAGCATCTTCCTCCCTCACCCCAATATAAGAAATCTCTTGTACTTTCAAATCTTCCGGAAAAAAACAAAGACAAATATCTCGAATCAGTCCTCAAGAACACTAAGGAAAGGACATTGACCGTCATGCGACTTAAAAAGCTCAAAATGTTTCAGCGAACTGATGAGCGCGCGTGCACAACTGCAAGTTTCATGATTTTGATGAAGAATGAAGTTTAATACTTCGTTGAGAAAGGATTGGAAATCGTTATTTGAAGGAAATTTAGCTAGAATCTTACTAAAACAATTAGATTATTCGCTCGAGATTTCTGAGTTCATAGTTGATTCCGCCTTCGACCTCATTAACTATCACCTAAAAGAAATCCGAGCTCACAATAAAGTTGTTAGAGCGGTTTTCATTTGAGTGTCGTAAAGTAATTGGTTTCGCATCTACTATGCAACACGATTGGCTTAAAAAATTCGCGCTACTGTTCATCCAATCAGAAGCAAAACCAAAACCAAAACCAATCATGACTCGTTCGCACGCGTTTTCCCGCGCTTTGCGTCAACTACATGTAATTACTTCGAGTTTTGATTGGTTCACTGCATTGCGTGCGTCCTTTGTGATTGGCTAGAGTAATTACTTTGGTTTTGGTTTTACGACACTTAACTGAAAACCGCTCTAAAAATGATGACCTAATATGATAATCATTAATAGCTAGTGCGAGGAACAGTAAAGAGCACACCCACCCAAGTATAACATCGTTTCAGATTTCATTTTGTGCACATGCTGGTTTGTAATGTCTAAATGATTTTTACCCACAATCCCTCTTTGGCGCGTGTGTTTTTCAATATTCTTCGCATTAGCATTTAACGATTCTCATTAGAAAGCAAGATTAGAGGTTTTTAGTTCTCTGGGTAAGTCTCTACGGGTTTGGTGACCACGACAAAAAACGCGGTACTCACTGGACACATTCGTAACGATCTTCTCTTGCAGCAATGTGTCTGAAATGGCAAAAATAAACTGTCAAACTCGAGCATTAAAAACCAGGACGAAAACTGAATTGAAATCAAATTTCTTACGATGGCAGTAGGTTGGCTGGTTATGACTCTCGCAAAAGAAGCTGAACATAGTTTACAGCTTCACCAGCCTTTGCTCCTCCCTAAAGTTTTCACTGAGATACCGGCTGAGCTGTATAACTGGTTCACAAACTTGTGCCGTAGTCCAATCAGTTGTTAAAGCGCTCATTTCGCGTTCACTAATTGTGTCAAAATGTATGCCACGTCACTTTGGTTCCGCATCACATTTTGCGTTATTAATGTGTTCCTCTCAAACAAACAGTGATACAAACACAAATATACGATGAAGATGGTTACATGTTTCATAAACGAGACGAAAGAAATCCTTGTGACTGTAGATTACTTACAGTGCTGTATCCATTCGTTTATTTTGACTGTTGATGTCAGTATGCTCATCTAGGAGGAGTTTGCAGACTTCAAAATTACCAGATAGGGCTGCCCAGTGAAGGGCAACGTTAAGCTCCTAAGTGTCGTGAAAAGTCAAACGGTTAACCATAGTAAGTAAGACATTACGGAATCTAAGAAAACAGAATTTATACAAAAAAGGACAAAACACTCCAGTCGTACTTCGTCTCTAATATGAACATTGGCTCCTTGTTCAATCAACAATTGAGTGGCGTCATACTGTTTATCCTCAGCTGCCCACATGATGGGGGTCCAGCCTCCATCGTCCTGATAACAAAAATGTGGTACACATTTTGAGATTACTGTCTATGACAAAAACCTGTACTCACAGTTACTTTATATATAGGCTAGGTTTATTTTCACTTTCAAGTGAATGGCACCTCTCTATTTTGTAACGAACAATTGGAGATGTAGGCATATGGTCTGCATACTAGTCACACCACTGCCATCAATCCATTCCCTGAACTTCATCTGACCAACCACTTGAGGGCTGGTGGTCACAACGGTTGACCGGATTAAGATCACTAAATGATGAAAATGTGTAGTTTCTAAATTTGCGTAAATAGTTTGCAGCTGTGTCTGGTGTTAGCTTACAATCCCCTAGGCTCGATTTCCGCAGCTCCCTCGTGTCCGGTCTACGTTCCTCCCCGAGAAGAGTTTGGGGGAGGAGTGCCGGCTCCTTTCCCGCACAGCGGCTGGTAATCGAGCCTAACAATCCCCCTAACGGAATCTTAGCTTAGTTGCAATTTTTGTGAAGTAAAGGGTTTTTTATATCGACGCTTATTTTTCCCCTTTTGGTTTAACTTGTAACTACCTTTTGGTTTAACTTTTAACACACCTTTTGGTTTAACTTTTAACTACCTTTTGGTTTAACTTTTAATATACCTTTTGGTTTGTATAGGTAATCATACGGTTTCGAGTTCAATTTGGAATTAATTTCAGCTTTTTGAAAAATTTACAAGTGCAAATTAAACCCAAATTGAGCGAGAAAAATCGTATGATTACTTATTAATAATATAAACATGAGAAAATTCGCGTGGAGGAAGTGCCTGAAGATCTTTCTTGAACCATTTTTTTGTCAATCGAGAAAACGTTTTTCAAAGTTTCAGCACAAAATTTTCATTATCATTTTATGTAATATCATCGGCTTAGAAAATTTCCTATTGCCTTTCAGCCAATCATAATTCAGAATTGCGATGTGTAATTTGCACTGGTGTTACACCTTTTGCACCGGTGTTACACTTTTTGCACTGGTGTTAAACTTGAACTGCATTGTTCTCAGCCAATCAGAATCGAGTAATTTTTCATGTATATCATTAAACTTGTAACATACCTTTTGGTTTAACTCTTAACATACCTTTTGGTCGATACCGAACTTTCCTGTTTTGAGCAACAGTTTGATCAGATCAGTGTGCCCATGGCGGGTGGCCAGATGAAAACAAGTCATACCTCCAGTGTCCTGCAAAAATGTATTACACGTATCTCGTCAGTAGCAGGTTCAACAAGGCGAAATAGAGTTTCGTTTCCTCAATGATTGGCGTGCTGAGAAATTTGAACCTGGATTTTAGGTAACCGTAGGTATGAATGCGAGTGCAATTAAGCAGTTACACTGTGAGTGATATTTCGAATGAATTTTCAAATGTCACGAGTAGTGTAAATCCTAAATTGTTCGAGCTTCCATCCGACCAATCATTTATCATATGACTGAAAAAAATTACGACTGCGCGCGCGTTAGTGCAAGATAAAAATCAAGGATGATTTGGCCTGTTCTAAGCCAGTAACAATAAAAAATTTTCTCACTCATATAATAACTACAGTTATACATAGAACTCCTTACCGCAGGTTTGCTGTGCAAAATATTACCGATAAACGAGCAATTCAAGGTCATTCTATTTTCGTAAGAGGCAGAAGTTGAATTTTGGCGGATTTTCTATGCTATGACAAGTTTACATTGCAATATTACACCGAAAGGAATCACTTCGCATTTGTCCACACTGCGTTGTTTTAATGTCCTGCAGTTTAGAAGCAGTTTAGAAGCAGTTCAGTCATCAAAACTTGATATTTTACATTTTAATTTCCTTTTGTGTCCGTGACGATCATTTTAGCGGTATGTGTTCACCAGTTTTTTGCCCGCGTTAAACATTTTTGCATAGTTATTTAGGAACGTTACTCTGATTGTACGTAAAACACAACATTGATGCCAAAACAATACCTTTTCGCTTATGAGGAAACAAAACAATAAAAACATATCTGAAAAATTATCAGAAAACCGGTGCTAATGGTTTAATAAAAGCAGTTGACAAAACGACAAGAATCCGTTGGGAAACAAGATTGACCGATGACGACAAGAATGGAAAAGTATTACTAAATCAAATGGACAAAATTTTATTATTCCTTCACTCACTTATCATTATGCTCACTGGGGGGGGGAGGGCAGGGCAGCAAATGACCAGCGCAAACATCATGTAATTCAATGTCACAACATCATTGAACTTGTACCTTGATTCCAAGGGCTGCTCCGCAATCTATGAGGTATTCTANATTATGCTCACTGGGGGGGGGAGGGCAGGGCAGCAAATGACCAGCGCAAACATCATGTAACTCAATGTCACAACATCATTGAACTTGTACCTTGATTCCAAGGGCTGCTCCGCAATCTATAAGGTATTCCACAGCTTTCACTTTGTGATTATTCACTGCATCAAACTATCATCCAAAAGGCCGAGGGATTATTACATAGAAGAACAGAGAAAGTAACAAATTAATTACTTACTCAATTATATCTAATAAATGAATTAATTAATCAATCAGTTAAGCGATCAATCACAAATATTTCACGCTTTCTCGTTAAAGTGTCAAATAAATACTTGTCGGAATCTACATATACTTACAAGTGGTGTTCTATTTTCATAGTCTACAAGGTTTAAGTCACATCCCGCCTGAAAATCAAAACAGTATATCCGTGAAAAACAGAAAAAACTTTGACTCCGTCAAACAAATGCAATGTAAGAAGTCCTAAAATCGTAGCAGAAGATCGACATAAAAGAGAGAGTGTTTTTTCGAAAGAAAGTTGAATTAGTTGAAGAAAAAATGTATTTCAACTCGTAGCTGAGGGCGGCGTACGACCTTCTTTCAAATACGATGTCTGAGTGATCGACGCCGCTACTTGTCACGTCACGTGGCCTGTGCAGTTTTTGCACAAGCAATGCTTTGCACAGATTCTTCAATACAGCGCTGTAAAGGGGAGCGAGGCGATCGTATGGAAACTCCAGATCGTAAGGATCGTTCAACTTTTTCTGTAGCGATCACAATGATNTGGGGGGGGGAGGGCAGGGCAGCAAATGACCAGCGCAAACATCATGTAATTCAATGTCACAACATCATTGAACTTGTACCTTGATTCCAAGGGCTGCTCCGCAATCTATGAGGTATTCTACAGCTTTCACTTTGTGATTATTCACTGCATCAAACTATCATCCAAAAGGCCAAGGGATTGTTACATAGAAGAACAGAGAAAGTAACAAATTAATTACTTACTCAATTAGATCTAATTAATGAATTAATTAATCACTCAGTTAAGTGATCAATCACAAATATTTCACGCTTTCTCGTCAAACAAATACATGTCGGAATCTACATATACTTACAAGTGGTGTTCTATTTTCATAGTCCACAAGGTTTAAGTCACATCCCGCCTGAAAATCAAAACAGTATATCCGTGAATAGCCTGCGTAGCAAGCGTTTCTGTGGGGTTCGGGAGCACACCGAAAATACCGTTCCTCGGTCTTTCTTTGCTTCCAAACCCCACGGAAACGCTTGCTACGCAGGTTAATCCGTGAAAAACAGAAAAAACTTTGACTCCGTCAAAAAATACAATGTAAGAAGTCCTAAAATCGTAGCAGAAGATCCACATAAAAGAGAGAGCATTTTTTCGAAAGAAAGTTGAATTAGTTGAAGAAAAAATGTCTTTCACCTCGTAGCTGAGGGCGGCGTACGACCTTCTTTAAAAATACGATGTCTGAGTGATCGACGCCGCTACTTGTCACGCCACGTGGCCTGTGCAGTTTTTGCACAAGGAATGCTTTGCACAGATTCTTCAATACAGCGCTGTAAAGGGAAGCGAGGCGATCGTATGGAAACTCCAGATCGTAAGGATCGTTCAACTTTTTCTGTAGCGATCACAATGATCGCACCATATCAGATATGGAAACCTGAACTTTTTTTCCGTGAACGAAGTGATTGTAGCGATCACAAGAAAAACAAATTTGTGTCAAAAATGAAATTCTGACAAAATGCGACAATGTTCTTTCGTAAGGGGTCTAGTGTAAGAAAGTGCGTGGAATTTAAATCTGTCCCTGTTTGTCCTGATGTCGTTATCAAAAGTCGTTATAACCGCACATGTGTACAATTCTTGCAATTCGATTCCTCAGAAACAGCTGGTTTTACAAACTTGATTTGCCTGTTATATCGGAGTTAAATTGTAATATTCTACTGATTTACCAGTCTCAAGCAAGCCATTATATCGACATAGCCTCCTGCAGCAGCTGCATGCATAGCTGTCTTTCCTTTCGCTTTCAACAATTGCTGGTTTGGATCACATCCCTCAGCTGCAAAAAAAGAACAGACAAGAAAACAATTACTTAAAGTGACAAAAAAAAATCATTTTAAAACAAACAAACGGATCTAGAAGACTTTTCCAATCGCTATTTTGGTCTTTTTTTTAATGACAAGTCAATGTAGTTATTTAGGAACATGGTATTGGAGAGTCGTTAACTTTGGCAATTGCCAAAACACATTGCATTTTGGCATACTTTTGGAGCGTCAATAATTATGAAAATTGACGTTATTTACCATTTATCCATCGAGATATATGCCTCCGTGGCAGCGAAAAAGATAAGTGGTTTAAGCCAAAAAATGTTATTACAGACGAAATGAAATAAGAGGTTACCAATCGTTTAGTCCGCAAGTCGATTAGCCCCCGTTCACGCTGAGAAATAGACAGTGTTTTTGACTTCGTGTTGGGGGCTTATCGACTTCTGGCTGGGACCACTACAAAATGTTCACGTGGTTTACTTGGAAAATAGAACTCACCAAGCAGAGAAAGAACTTTTTGAATATTGCAGTCCTTTGCTGCTGTAAACAAATTCCTGGGAGACGTCTTAAACTTCTTCCACGGACTGAAAAAAAGAATTTAAAGATAATCAGACATAACAGACAAAGAGTCAGAAATCCTGCTTTGATTTGAAAAACTCAGAGAGCGTGGCGATAACAGCATCAAGCCACCCACCTGAGAGCATACGCAAACACGTAAACAGTGNATGTATTTACTTAAGAAATGCGCCTCATTTGTTACTTATGGCCTCGTATCCAATGTGGGCTCAAATAATAATAATTATTGTTAATTATATTTGGGAAACCGCGAAGGGCTAGTTCCTTTCCCCCAGGGTCAGGGCCAGTTTTAACAATATGTACCTTAAATAAATGTGTTATTTAGAACAGACATGATGATGTTAGAAATGAATAAATCAATGAATGGAGAAATGAATGAACAAATACAAAAACAGTACATAAAACCAACCAGAGAATCTTTTTAACACAAGACAACAGGAATAATTTCTTAGTAACTTACCTAGATGTTTCTTTACATATACTCAATATTCCATGCAGGATTTGTGGATCTCTTAGGATTGTGCCTTCATCTGCAAGTAAGAAGTTAGTACAACATTACAGTGAAACCTGTATTAAGCCGACCCCATATTAAGTGGACACCCTCTATTAAGTGGACACCAGCTTAAGTTCCAAAATGTTCCTCCCATATTTACAGTAAAATAAACCTGCATTCAGTGGACACCTCTGTTAAGCAGACGCCAACACCAATATTAAGCGATTTTGTACACAAAACCTGCAATAAGCGGACACTTCAAGAGCTTTTTACTTCTAAAAGTCTACCCGAGACTCCTTTAACATTGTTCAGCGATGTCGTTTTAAAGCTAAGTGATTATTCCAGATTGATGCAATGACTGACTGGACATTCTCCTTTGTTTGATCTTACAGTGTGTTACAAAAGAGTTAATAATTCACTGTCATTGCACAACATACACGTACTAGAGCCTGTTTCGAATGGACACCCTGTATTAAGCGGACACCGGTGAGGGTCCCAAGGGTGTCCACTAAATACAGGTTTCACTGTACTCAATAAACCAATGTACTGTTCAAATGGGGTTCATTAAAAAAAACCACCACCACCAAACTTGACTCTACATATCTCAGACAATGCAGTCAATTTAGCAATGTAACTGATATTCAGAATAGGCCAATTTTCCACATATTAAAATTCTAACATGGTGCCAAGGCTTTAAGAGATTCTTTATTCGTTTGTTCTCGTGTGACAATTTCAATATATTGCAATTAGCCTGTTCCTGTCTTTGTTGTATCAGAGATAAAAATTCTCACCACCAGCCTAAGTTTGTGTATAACTGATACAAGTTTCGACACAGAGCAGGGTTGTCTCCTGACAGAACTCAGGATTGCCAGTAACAATGACAAACTGGTTTATTCACACGGTAAGTACTCAGATTACATTACTATGCAGCACTAAGCTTCATTACGTTTCCAGAGCTCTCCTATGGACAAAACTCAAGCTCTTAATCAAGTACAACTCGAGATTCCAGAAACGTTCGGAAAGAATTAAATGTAGTATGGTCTAGTATTATTACAAGGTTTCTAAATCACATGAAAAATGGAACATTCCAGAAGGTATAGGTCATGGCTGAATAATTTCCAGTTTAAGACTGTTCTTAAGTTTGCTGAGACAATTCTCATAACAAATTTAACTTATGTGTATCTGGTATAACACAGCTTTTAATTAACCAAAGAAGTAACAACTCAAGAAGGAAAATTGAAGTATTGTTCACCACAAAACCCACACAGCCATATACATATATGCATGCCAGTTGGAATGACATAACACACTCAGACTGTTATTGTTTAATTATACCTGTAATATGTGCACTAACTATGGACAATGAGTCCGACGACGTACTGCTGCTGCATCCCTCACCAAGACTCTGCCGCAACCCATCCACAACCCTTGAAACTGTGTCGGCAACAGATTCTGTAATAGTACATGTACTTGATGCTTCAGCAGCTACAACTGGTGCAGATTGGTCTCCTAGAGATGAGCTGTTGATGACAGGAAAAATACTCAGCCATTTGAAAACATGGCAACATTGTTCTTTGTGCAACAATAATACATGCAGTTTAACTGAATAGCAGACATGTGATTTCAGCTATATTCTTTCTTCCCTAAGCTGATTGGAGAAGAAAACACCAATGGCAAAAGAGAAAGGCTCCGCTGAGTGTAAATTTGCCCATTCATGAATTAAACATAAGTGAGTAGTTACTGTGAAATAGCAGTGTTTCTAAACAAATTTAATTTCCCACAGTGAATCTTGTATTATACAGTGTGGTTCTACCATTGAAAGATACCAGATGTACACAGGTTATCTACAGCATGTACCTTTTATTTACCAACTGTTTGTTTTAGGACAATCTTTTAGTCACTTGCACTGTATATGTCAGACATCACAGTAATAACAAAAGGTTAGATGTGACTATTATATAGGTAGAAACAATGAACATGTTTTTTAAATCTCTTTTTTTTTTCAGCACTTAGTGTTGTACATTACTTTACATACAGCATATCTAGAGAGACTTACCTTGTTAACGAGACATTTTCTGTACTCATTTTTGCTCCTAACAAAGAGAAATCCAGCTATAAAGATTCATCTTTTCAGTGGTAAGAAAAGACTTAAAAACTTAAAACTCACGTTAAAATACTGAAAGATTAGCTAAAAACAGCCAAAGAGTTTAATGAATTGCGAAATAAAATGTAAAATTAAACCACAAATTCTGTTCATACTTTTTCTTGGTGATTCCTGGCAACTCTGAAAAAAAAAAACACATTACAACATACAATAACTGATTTGAAAAAGGAAAAAGAAAAAAAACAGTTGATTTAATTGATATTGACTTCAAACTTAAGAGTTACAAGGCAAATGAATACTATCCCACAAAATGATTGTGACAAAATGAAAGGTATGCTAATTGAGAAAGGAAAAACCTGCTACGTCTTATTAATAAACATTCAAAAAACCACAGCCAAAACTACAAGAAACAAAAACAAATCTTGACTTTGGCTTTACAGTTGCTGTCTGTACCATGTTTTTCCTTTCTTAAAATTCACTGCTGTTAGAAGGACTCATCAATAAATGTTCTCTTCTCATAAAGACTGGAAAAGAACTTGCAGAAAAGGGGTCAACAAACGTCCTAGAACTCTATGACTGTTGAACGTACTGATTCGTCCTTGACACTTGATTGATCTGTAACAGGAATACTGCCTTCTGAAAGTTTTTCATCACCTATAACAAACAAAACAAAGATTGTTTTATCATGATATCAAACAAAAACAAAACAAAAGAGGTCACAGCTTGCTTTTATTGAACAGAAGACATCTTCACGGAACAAAAAGTATATCACTGTTACCATTTGGTAAAACATCTAAACAACAGACCAGATTTTATTGTTCAAACCAAAGTTAGCATTAGGCCCAAATTGCAACCAAATAAGGATATTACCCTGCCACACAATACCTTGTTTATTGACAGAGTCAACAACGACATTATTCTTTTTCTCTTCTTCCTCATCAGAGTCTATAACAATAGAGTCACCCTTTGTTTTTCCTTTGTCAGCATATTTCAGAGAGCGTTTCCTTAGTTCACAACTACAAATTGTTGTGCAAATGGGTCGCATCTGACCATCTGCAGTGGGAGCAAAAACTGTCATTAAGCCACCCTCTGGAGCCAGGCAAGTATCACTTCCAGTGCTTTCTTGATAACCAGTTGTTTTACTGGGCAAGTTCAAGACCATTTGACCTTCAGGTTTGACCTGAGAATTTGTTTCGATAGTAGTGCTGTTCAGTGGCACAGACAATAAGCTTGAGGTCACAGAGGATTTTGTAAAGTTAGGTGATGGCTGATGACTAAATGGTGCAACTTTGACGATTGACGGATTCTTGACATCAGAAGTAATTTGTTTGTCCCCTGAAGGCTGACCACTAGTGCCAGCTGAGTTTGGATGCACGTGTTTGCATGTTACACTAGTACTTGTTGGAGATGAGCGTGAAGAATCTGACACCTTTGTTATTGAGTTCTTGGTAAAGTGAGGACTTCCTGATGGCGTGCTTGATGATAAAGATTTTGGATTTGAAAATGACGAGCCTAAAGATTCAATGACAGGAATGCTTCAATTTCATTTCCAGACACTTTTGCAAATTGTTAAACAGAAACAGAATTTTACTCAGTACACTGGACAAATCTGTTCTGGATCGATATCTTACAACAAAAATTTCAAGAAAGCCAAGTGACACAAATAATTGTGACTTTCTTAAACATTATCAAATTCTGTACATGGAAAGTTATTTTCACAGCATATATTCAAATTTGGTAACTGAATCACGAAAGGACACAAGATCAAGTGATTTCTGGGAAGAAAAGAGTCACATTCAAAGTGTTGCTGGGTGAAGAACATCACTATGTGTTTGTGGCTTTTTGTCAAGAATTTGACAAGAAAGCACGAGAAAGACTTTAAAACTTATGTGGCCACTGAAACACGATTTGGTTAGCAAATTTGGATATGCTGTAACAAAAGTCTTCCTTGCGTGATCCATAAAAGAAAAACTCAGTTAATAAAGTTAAAGACAATCACAAAATTATTTGCGTTGCTTGGCTTGTTTTAATTTGTTGTTGTAAAATGTTGATCCAAAACAGATTTTTCCAGTGTACTAATCAAACACCTTTACTAAAAACTATAAGAATATTTGCCAATTAAGGAATTCAGCAGCACAAAGAATGAAACAGACACAAGAGTTTTATTACTGATATGATTACACAATACATAACTAAGTATAGAGCACTTACATTACTCTATTTACCATGTATGTACAGGTGTACTTACAACAGGAAAGCAGTTAAAGAAGAGCTTTAGAGGATTTACGTTTTGCTTCATAGTTGGAGGGTTGCAAGAATATTATTTTTACCTTTAATCCTGGTCTACCTGAATGCATCATGTTTTTTCATGATGTGTAATGTTAACACAATGACAGGGCAGAAAACAGGCACAGACCCAATACAACCAAAATAATGTAACAAAAAAACAATAAAATAGAAATTTGAAATTAAGAAAAAACATGTTGTACCACACTCGATCTATGACTACCAAATGAACAACTTAACAAACATACTTGCTACTATTTCTTTTTCTTTTCTACACAGACTGTACTTAGCCATGTAACTTAAGAACTGGAGATACAACAAAACCACTTAAATTCTATCACAAAAACAGTTCTTACAATGTAACAAATGAGCGTTAACAATTTAAAGGACATATAACAAGACAAACATGAAAATAATGATACAGGAGAACCACAGATGGAATAATTACCACAAATGGATCAATTACTATAATGATATAAACTTGTTGGGAGATACATGTACATGTAATACAGCTACTCAACCAGTTGCAAAGAAAATCTTTGACTCCAGTTGGTTATAATTTAAGAACTTTTCTGTTGTTTTCTGTGAGTGCCAAAATATAAAAAAAATCAATAATCTTGAATGAGTAAAACGAACATTAATGAGCCTGTGACTTTCAGCCCTACCACTGTATTCTTTTGAAAAGATACTACAAGACCACAAGACCTGTAGGATGTGTACCAGTTGGTCTTGTACTCTTCGGATGCAACCTGAGTGACCCAGGGGGGCCATATCCAGCTTCTCTATAACGTAACCTGATGTTCCTTTGATAGTAATAGTGGGTTGGTGGGCGAGGTGGGCCATAATGCATTGATCTACCTTGGTACCAATGTGGAGATGGTCTTCGATGTGGCCCATCATATCTTGGATCTATGTGTCCATCGCTAGATCTTACTGGTCTGTGGGATGGATGACTACGATACACCTCTTCTCTGTTGATAGATCGTGGAAAATTTCCAGTTCCTCTTCGACCAGTTGGGTACCTGCTTCTCCTTCCTCCCCTGCGTGCAGCAGCATATGGAGGACTATGAGTTTGCCTTTGCCATTCCCTACCAATATATCTCTCCTGCCGAGCATCTCCAGGAGGGGAGTAAGGGTGGTAGCGATGGTTGTCTTGACAATCCATTAGGTTGCAGCCCCTGAAAAATTACCATAAAAGTGTTCATTTGTTCATTGCATCTGGTGCACTATTTGCACACCCCACCAAATTGTTGGATGGTTTTTGTAGGTTTCTCAATCTTGGGTCATTGCATAAAAGGATTCAAAAAGCAAAACTACACTATATATAATGTACAAGTGATAATGAGAAAAATTGACAAAAAGTAATAAATAAGATATTATATTTGATTACAAAAGGAAAGATATGATGCAGGGGATTTAATTTACAAAGTAAATGTAAAGGAGATAAGTTCTGAGTAATTTATCACATAAGTGTTCGGGAGGCAGGCTCCTTGAATGTACATGTGCAGCCCATATTTCATCAAATTGTTTATTATAGTGTATATCTTGGGAACAAAAATTGCACAAAATACCAACAGTCCACCCACACTTTGTCAGTTTATTAACAAGGGGGATGATAGGCCCATTATATGTTTCTGAATAAATTAACATAAATTACCAAAGGTCAATAAAAAATGTCAAAATGAAGAGATACCAAACTGTAAATTCATCTTTTACTAACGGTAAGTCATTGCATCAACCGTTTTACTCCAAACATGTGTTAGTTCTACTTGATATGCAGTTTTAATAGGTCTTTTGCAACAGTTGACCATGTAATATGTTTCTCAAGAACACACTGATATAGCCATTGGTAATGCAGAAATGGAAAGAACATTTACAAATAAGCTTACATGCAAATGTTGATATCCTTTATGATGGAGTTTTTTTTATAGACGTTGGAAATAAGAAGAATTTGTGTGGGAAGAAAATACTTTTCCCACCATTCACATTCCAGTGGTTTTCCATACAAATCCTTGTAATTTTGCAAGTTTTCAAACTGTTCTAAGCCTTTGCCTTTCAGTTTAAGAGTGTAGAATTTTCCCTTCTTCCTGATATTTCACCCCTCTTTCGATCTCCAATAGTTATACGTCGGCAGCTTCCTTTTGTATGTGACTAATAACAGAAAAGGTTCCTGGAGGGCAAAGCTTCCTTGCTTCCTTACAAAACCATCTAATTTTTGAAATATTCAAATCATTGTTTCAGTCTCAACCTTACATGTCATTGCCCTGAAAACTTGTGTTCTCACTACTTAAAACATGCTATTTCCAGTTCTGAATTCACAGAGCTGTAGCTAAAACTCTAGGAATTATAAGCTACAGGTCCAACTGTTGTAAAAGGCTCATTAGCAGTAGTGGAACATTTCTGTTCAAGTTAGCTCAACACAATGTGGTAGTATATCAAGACATAGATCATATGTATAAGTCCTCTGGTAAAAATGCTCTATATTTGTAACATCTTTACTTCTTGCACCATAAGTTACTGAATTTAGTACGAATAATGGAAAGGTTTTGTAAAAGTCAGTGGCACAAGATATTCAGAAAACTCTCAAACCAAAAGAAGTCAAACCTATGGATTTGCCAGCACAACTACTACAAGAGTTTCACACCAGCATTAGTTTTCTGTAAGAAATTGCAACCATCAATTCTTTGCATGAAAAATAAAGTGGTTCTTTAATGTGGCCTGACTGCCAATATAGCTTTCTTTATCCTCTAGTCTCAAATATTCCAAAACTTGCCAACAAAATTCAACGATGGCTGGTAAGAATTCAAAGAAATCTGAATTTCCAGTTTTCAAGGAGATGGTAAATTTTCAAGGATATTTTTCAAGGCCTGTGCAAACTGTACTTTATTAACATGTATTCCTTTATTTAATTTATTAAATCATCTAGTTCTACTATTGATGTCAATATATATATTGCTATTAAAACAGCTTGAAGCCTTTGTACATGGAATTAAACTTGCAATAGTGACACTTTTCCTTCTAAACTGACACATCAACTCTGAGAAGGGAGGGGTCAAATTCCAGTGAAGTTGCTTATACCATATCTTAATTAAATTTAAGTGTTTTCTTTTACCATTTATTTTAATATTTTCTCATCTGCCCAGAAGGTACACCATGCAAAAACATGAAAAAAAAAATTTTTTGAAATATGGGTACCCCTGGTAATATACAGCAAATTTAAATCACACTTTTGTCATTTTTCGGGGTTCCTCGTATTTCAAACAAATACCTTGAAATTCTTTGTCAGTCGATGTTGGAGGTAATCACAGAAAATATATAGCACTATAGAACTCATCAAAAAACAACAGTAGGCAGCTAAAATCATAGCCTGAACCTTAGCCAGCTAGTAACCACTGTTAAAAGCTTGGTTCTCAAATTTGTTTCCCATATGTGAAAACCTCATCAATGATAATTTAAACTGGCAATTTTTTAAATCCAAGTAACAGTAGGGATTTACATTGGGGGCTATATTTGAACATAATCTAAAAATTAAACAAGCCTTTAGCCATGTAAAACATGAAAGAATTTTCAAATGTCATGAGAGGTGTAAACCCTTATTTGCTGGAGCATTCCACAGCTTTACTCATTAATTACCTGACCAAATAAATTATGATTGTACATGCATAATTTGTTCTACAGTGCAAAGAAAAAATTAATGCAAAAATTGTCTGCTCTCAACCAATCACAATGCAGTAATTTCCTGTGTTCTATTAAAATGCAAATATCATATTTCACAAATTTATCTAAATTTAATTCATTTTTTCTTTTAATTTGCATTTCCCAAAAGGCAAATCTGAAATATCTCATAGTGTACTCAAACCACTCTGAACCATGTTTTGTTGTTTGATCTGCATAAAAATTTCATCACACACAAAAACCGTCTGCACGACACATGCCACTGGCACTCTGATTTTTGAGTTCCTCCCTTACAATTTGGGTGTGTTTGCTTAGAACATGATCCATGATGTCTTAAAGAAATCATGAACATCTTGCAGTCTGTGGATTATAAAACACGCGTTAAACTCTGATCTTCTGTTTCGCAAAACGACTTTCACCATCTAACACAAAGAACAACGAAATTTGATACCAAAAATGAAAGATTAAAATCTTGTGTCTCTTCACCACGCTTCACTGGTCTTTACTTCTATGCAAAACGATCACTAGCAGTCACGACTTCAACCACCAGCCGATCTCAAGAAGGCTCCGACACGAGAGCAAGAGGGACCGACATCAAAGTGGTAAATGGCCTTGAGGGTTTGACTACAACTTTGGACAGCGGATAAGCAATTCTTATGGCTAGAGAGGAAATTGATTTTAAGGAATCCACGAAAACAAAAGCATTTGTGAAAATCACAGCACATAAACAATCCACGATCTGACGATGCACGGCAGAGAAGCCATTTTCAAAAATCGCACACCACAAACGGACCAAAACCCAACATATTTAACCTAAATGCACGATGACAAAAGACATCCGACAATAGACAAGAATAACCCTACCTTCCAGTATAGACTTGCAAACTCAATTATACTTTCAAGTTGATTCAAGTCTAAGCTCGACCCGCGAAAAAAAACGGAATAAATTAAACGAGCGCCCACGGAGCACGGGGGAATGTCAGCACCCGCTGTACGTGTTCATTGCAGTTTCAATCCATCACCCATGACAGCAATTTTTTTGGAAATTGACCCTAAACTTATCACAAAGTTTGTGCACTGTTTATATCCACCTTTCTCGTTATAACTGGTGTTACGTATGAACATTCCTACAATGTTTAAAACGCCATAACGAGATAAATCTCATCACAAAACTGACAGAGGTTCACTGTTGTGTGACAAGTCACGCAAGGCTCGTTAAACGTGGAAAGTTCAAGGGGCTTCAAAAATGTAGGCTGATGAGTTTTTGTTTTCGTACTAACATCTTGCCACGATTAAGCTATTTATAAAACTTGGTTCTCTTTCTGACCTTTCTTCAACCTGTCACTGACGTGATTGACCAGTGAGTAGTTCCCATGCTCAGTGGACCCAGTAATCACCAAGTTATGTAATGACCTTATAAAGAGAACGTCATAGTAAGTACAAAAACGTCGACCAAGCTTATGAACGACACCGTTTATCCTTTCTTGGGATTTACTAACTTACAAAATTCCAAGTTTTCACATCGAAATTGTGTGTCATTTGCTGACTTGCAAATTGCGACATTTCTTTGCTGAAACGTGTTATTGTTATTAGCAAACTAAGTTACAACAACTTAACTACCCGCAGATGGCAAACACTGTTCGAGGAGGTAAAAACTACTGCATAATGGAGAAAATTAAAGAAAGAAAAACACCAAGAATTGTTACCTTAACGGTTCAATCTGAAAGTTTTACCACACAAGATCAAAGAAAGGAGGGATTAACCAAAAGCAAAACTGCACGGAATGTGGAAATTGTTGTGGGATCTGAAGAATTTCAGTGCAGCACTTGCTTTAAATTCATCAAGTCGAGGAAGATGAGAAACTCAACTTGCATGTCATTTAGAGGGAGATGAACTTTGACCAATAGTAAATACGGAATCAGTTCAGAATCATAAAATGTGCTTGATTGTATCGTAGTGATGTAAATGAAAATTCATTCTTATTCTATAGTTATCTAAATTTCGTCATGAATGAATTTTAGTTTCTTTTAATTGGTATGGCCTCTCTCCCGAGGAAGAACGCCCAGTAGTAATTCTTACTGAATTGTTCCCAGGTAACTAATCCCTAAGGAAAGAATGCAACGTAATATTTCTTTGGACGACCGTTGACCAATCAATAAAATTACAATTAAATTTCACCTTTAAAATTCAATTAAAATTGAAATTTAAAAAATTAAAAAATAAAATTCATTCATAGAGCGCCTTACTCCACTAATTGTCCATGGCACTTTTCAATACTAATGAAAAATAGCAGGATAGAATAAAATATTAAACACAATAAAAATGCGAATGAAAATATTAAACCGTGCTATGAAATAAACCCTGTAGTTCAAATCAAATGCGTCCTCAAAGAGATGCCGTGGCCTGAGTTTACAAATAATGCACTTGATGTCTGCTTATATTTAATGGTAATTTAATTATTCCATTGTTTCGGTC